TGAGGAATACCCTAGCCTGGCTAGCGGAGGAATTATCGCACCGGAATGAAATTATAGTATTATAATTGTTCCGGGCGGAGGACTTGTGGAGGAGTCTAGGGGGGAAAGGGGGTTTGGATAGGTTTGTTGTACATGAACAACATAGAGTGCGACGAACTTTCGGACCGGCGCAGTATTGGGCACCTAAAAAGGAACCCTAATTTAGAGAACTACCCATGTAGGCTTTGGATTTGAGGGTTGAGGAGTCCATCTTCCGTGTCCGACTTGGCCTTTGAGCTTGGAGCCTAGCGTATGCAATTGCTTACGCTACAACCTTCGCAGACTGACCCTGACCCGACACACCCTAAACCCGGATACACCTCTTCCTACGACTCGCAATACTCCGATGCTGAATTCGAGGCGGTCCTGCCTGCAAAACTCTCGAGCCTACAAGATAAAAGCATGAGCGCCAGGCACTAATGAACCCCAAACACTAAACCCTCTAAGCCCCAAACGCCAAATCCTGATTAAACAAATCGTAAACGCTCCACATAACCCCAAACACCAAATCCTGAAAAATGAATCCTAAACCCTCCAAGAAAAATGTTCGAAGTTCTCACCCCTGCCACCAAAAACGGTTAAACTCCTCTTCGGCTCGCAAAGTCCTGCAATTGCCAGCCCTATGAAAGTCTCAATCGTCATAGAGGGGGCCGTTTAGAGTAGAATGGGGCTCTCCTCTACGGAGTTTATAAGGTCTTAAAGAGTAGAATAGGGCTCCTCTACGCAGTTTATGAGGGTTCCGGGTCTTAAAGGGTAGGAAAAGGCTCCTCTAAGGGTTCCGGGTCCTAAAAAATTAGATAAATAACCGTCCTCTACTACAACGGCTGAGTATGGCGGCCTTAGGAGTTAGAAGAGGGTTTTGGGGTAAAGTGTGGTAGTACATGTGGAATAGGGTTTAGGGTTTTGGGTTTAGGGTTTAGGGTTTAGGGTTTAGGGTATAGGGTTTAGGGTTTAGGGTTTAGGATTTAGGGTTTAGGATTTAGGGTTTAATGTATGATACGGTTGATCAACAGCGCTTCTTGCGGACCGTCGTGCCGAGCATGGCGCGTCCCAAAAGGGAATAGCATTGGTAACTATCTACATAGGCTTTTTGTGAAAGCCCTTATCTGCTTATACCATCTATGAGGGCCTTATAACCATGAAGTCGGGCTTGATGAGTTCAACAACCTGAAGCCAATCCCCAAACCCCCAAAAGGCGCTAAACCACGAAGTGTAGAGCACTTATGGATCCTTATAGAACGCTTGTCGAACCTTTGCAATTTCGAACCCCTTCCCAGAGAGCCCAATACCGCATAATTAAGGAATATACCTTAAATCAGAATATTAAGGCCCCTATAACTTAAGGTATATTCCTAAACACTACACCCAATCGCCCACAACCGAGGCGCTGCTCGTTGTAGATCTCCACAAAGGAGGCCCAAACACCTCAAGAAATTTGGGAGTAAAGTGGGTTTAGGGTTTAGGTTTAGGGGTTTAGGGGTTTAGGGGTCTAGGGGTCCAGGGGTCTAGGGGTTTAGGGTGTAGGGGTTGAGGGTTTTTCATCAGACTCGTGAGGCTTCTCGAAAGGCTTACCAGGGACTTTTAAGTCTCGAGCGTTTCAAGGGCAAGGATTCGGGATTTTAAGGTTTTGGAGCTAGGGCTGAGGATTTCAATAGTAATAAAGGGGCCTTAATAGTTAGAACAGGGGTTCCTTTAAAGGGATCCTTAAAGGGTTCTATCAGGGACCCATGATAGGATTCTATTGTAGGGGCCTTAGTAAGTAGAATAGGGTTTTTGTGGCCCATCATACTATATAAAGTAAGGAACCCCCAAGCTAGTATTCGTAATTATTTACGCGCCAATATGGTTTATGACGTAACACTAAACCGCAAACCCTACGCCCTGTACTGTCAAGCTTGTTTCTTCCGCAGTGTGTGCGTGTGTGTGTGCGCCTGCTTTATCAGAGTTCCACAGGGTTCAGAACGAGAGCATGGGGCAAAGCAACCTAATGTAGGGGCCTTAATAAGTAGAAAGGGTTGTGGGGTTCCTTCATGTACTTATCATATAATCTACCCCAAACCCTATTCTGATTATTAAGGCCCCTGTATTGGTTGCTGAGATCCAGTGGCCAGAAACTGGCTGAGCTTTCAGAGTTTGGGGCTTTTGGGGCTCGGGGTGCAAGGCAGTATGAGGGTTTCCGAACATAGGGGACCCTAATATAGTACACTAAATTGTAGGATCCTTATTATAAGGACCCCAAAATACGGTATAGTACACTAAATAGTAGGATCCTTACTATAAGGACCCCAGAATAAGGTACCCCTCATTTTCGGAATCTCCCGTATGGCAGGATTCTCGTATACTCAAACACTCCTTAAAATTTCGCCTTCTATGAACTTATAACACACGGGGTTTAGCAGTTGAGTCTCGTGGGGTTTGGGGCTTGCGCGTGAATCAGGCGTGGTGTCAGGGTTTAGGGCTTAGGATTTGGAGCTGCGTCAGGCCAGGAAGCAACATAGGGTATAGGCGCAGAGCAAGATCATGTTTAACAATCTTTCAGAACCTGTCTTCTCTGAAGCCCTGAACACCCCAGAACCACAACCCAACCCAGAAACCCTAAACCTTGACGACCTCATAGTTGAGGCTCCTGTCGGAAAGGAGACGAGTCTTTTGGGGCTGGAGTTCTTCAACTTTAACTTGACTGCTCGATTCATGGGTAATTATAAGTGGAGCTATAAGTCCTTTAATATGGGTTATAGTAACAGTTACCCTACTTATCACCTCACCTATAACTACCCCTGAACCTCCAAGTAATAAAGAGGTACAGTATCGTACTCCGTGGGAGGTACATGAGGGTTCCGCATTTCCGAGATCCTGAAATCAGGACCCAAGGCCACAATAACAAACACCCCTCTTTAATGGGGGAACGCGCAGCCCTGCCTTGACGCAAGAACGAGAGCATCTAGAAATTCAGACTCTTAGCCCTAAAGCCCTTCACCCTAGAGTCAGGCTCGTCACGAAGCTCGTCGCCCCCGGAATCCGAAAGCAGCTGCTTCTGCCGGAAGACATCCTCCCACGCGGAGTCTTCAGGTGACCGTTCTTTGGGCTGGCTTGGGACCCGGGTTCTAGCCTTTAGGTTTTTTGGGTTTAGGGTTTGGGGTTTAGGGTTTAGGGTTTAGGGTCTGTCCCTGATATGACGCAGGTTTGTGTGGTGGTAACACCGACATAAGGGCACGCAAACGTAAGAGTCTGTCTAAGAAGCCGTATATGCACTCGCCAAAGCCAGTTCTTAAACCCTACCCCCTTCTTCAGGCTTTTGGATATAATGAGAGGTGAGTATTGCAGTCTTTGCTTGAAGTCCTGAGGCGTTGAGTTAGCACTTCTGGATTTCGAAATGGAGACCACAGCTTCAACAGCCAGTTCTTTCAAATCAAGACAACTACTATGGAACGCGTAGACGAGGTTATTGCTGCGACTAGAAAGAGGTTATAAAAATATATTATTACCAACTGTTCAGACCTGTACAGCACTCTAGTTCCCAAACATGCCCTGATGGTTTCCTACTTTCCAGCTTCAACAGGGAGGCCCAAAACAACAGTGGATAACGAGCCATGTAGTAGGCTTTTGAATTTCAGCATCCCTACAACCAAGCCCTCAAGTGCCCCCCCAAAGCGGAACCACGAATCCGAACTTCTGCTCCTTGGCGGTGGTAACACAGCCCTCTTCGAGATATTTAGATCAGAAAGGATGTCCAAACCCAGATTCAGGTCCGTAACCCTGATCTCTAAAACTAGAAGCCGCTTCGAGAAAACGATGTCTTCCAACATCACCGGAGCCAAGAAATGGAAAACTATGTCCCAAGCCGAACCCGGGTTGCTGCCGAAGCCTAGACGAAAACCCTACAGCCGGGGCAGCAGGGGTGCCCTGATTTGGAACCCTTCTTCGTTGTTGTCGACACTGTGCTGTAAAGGTTCTGTATCAGGGCTACAAACATGAAAAGGCTCACTCTGAGGATTCTACAGAGTACCACTTCAAAGCTACTACCGTGGGGTCTTACCTTGAGGCAGGGTACTTGCACCCCCTATACATCCGATGTGCCAACTCACGCGATAAAAACCCCAAACCCAAACTCAAAGTGGACCAATACTCAGTGCCTTTAGGGTCCTTCATAAACCCTCAACCATACACCCAAACCCTAAACCCTACACCCTAAACCCTACACGCTACACCCTAAACCCTTCTTTCATAAACCCTAAACCCTACACCCTACACCTTAAACCCTAAACCCTACACCCTAGGCCCTAAACCCTGACCCCTAAACCCTAAACCCTAAACCCCTAAACCCCTAAACCTTTAAACCCTGAACCATTTAAACCCTAAACTCTAAAAAAAAACCCTAAACCCCTAAACC